GAGAGAGAGATGAGCAATGATCTCTACCCACAACCAGGTTATGACATGATCCCCTTCCTCCAGTCCTGCATTCTATTAGATCTTGGGCACTTACATATATGCCCAGCGTGTTTCTGTTGGACCAGGCGAGGGATTTGAGCCACAATCACCATGTGAGATCTGGTTTTACTTGAGAGGTGCATTACCAGACCACCACATAGCTGGCTCCTATCCTGTATTTTTACTATTTGTCTGTATCTCCCTGTGGTATTGTGAAATATACATTGGATCTTCCTCCCCAGGCCCTGGAAGAAAGCTTCTAGAACTCTTGAAACTTCCTGAGTAACAGGGGTGAGAGAAACATATTTTGTTGTTGATAATAAGTTCTTTTCAACCATAAATACCTAACTTTATGCTAATACATTAGCTAATAAGGTGACTTTTGATAGGTCCATAGATAGCTTCAGGATGGTGAGTTGGCTGCAGAAGAATCAACCCAACGAGTATTAGTACTTTCGGCCTTTGCTCCCCTCAACCTAGCCCCACTTCAAGAGAGAAGGAAGAAGGGACAAAGGGCTGGAAACTGGTAATCAGTAATCAATGAATTGATCAATCATGCCTACATAACAGTACCTCAGGAAAAGCCCTAAAGAGTTTTGGCATCAGTGAACACATCCATATCCCCAAAGGTCAGTACACACAGAATTCACAAAGTTAAGCTCCTGTGCTTGGGACAGTTCTGGACCTTGCCTTATGTACCTTTTCCTCCAGCTGTTCATTTTTATCTATTATACAATCCTTTATGACAAACTGGTAATAATACATAGTGATTCCCTGAGTTCTGTTAGCTGCAATAACAGATGATTGACCCTGAGGAAGAAGAGGTCAGAGAAACTCCCAATATGTGGTCAAGTCAGATAGAAATGTGAGTAACTTGGGGACACACTACTTGCATCTGGTGTCTGACGTGGGGGAGAAGCAGTCTTCTGGGACTGGGCCTTTAACTGTGGGATCTGTGCTAATTCCAGGAAGGTACTGGTTGAATTACATTAAAGGGTGAAAATAAACACATTTGGTGCTTTCAGTTGGATAACTGCTTCGTGTGGGAAAACCCATTCTTTTGGTGTCAGAATATTTTGAGTAGAGAAATAACTCTCCTTTAGAATTACTTTCTTGTAAGCTTCTAGAAGCTACATTGCCCATATGGTTCTCAATAGCTACATGTGATTAATTAAATTACAACTAATTAAAATTAAATAAAACTAAAATTTCCTCAGTAACACTGGCCACTTTCCAAGTGCTCATATCCACATGTGACGAATGCTACTGGGTCACTCAACACAGTAATACAGAAGGTTTTCTATCATCATAGACATTTCTATTGAACAGTACTGTTCTAAAGGTCTGATACATCTTTACCTTCCTCAAGGGCCCTGCACAAATACAGTCTCCATATGACTACAGTACCTGATCAACCTATTATAAGTCCAGACTTTCATAGGTGATCTGGATCAAGAGGAGGATACAGTTAGGGATGTAGTTCTATACTTGTAAAATGACCACACCATCCACTGTCAACTCATAGACAGTGGCTATACCTTCTCAATATCTTAATCTACAGGCAATAGCCTGAAACTACACAAATAGAAATCAATGTGGTCACTCCTTTTACACTAACATAGTTATCTCAAAGCCGTGAACATTATTCTGGGCTCCAATACAAAACTATGGCTAAACTGAAACAAAATACATTTTTCCCACTTGATAGGAATCTAAAAGGATAAGATTTTATCAGTTTAATAAAGTGACTGCTCAGCTGACAAGGTGGTGTTTGTCATTTGTCTTCAAGACATACAAGAACCCAGCAGGAGAATTTATATTCAATCACTGTGTCAGGAGAAAAGCAACTACTAAATGATTAAAGATGCTCAAATGGGGAATTATATAACTGAGCTTTGAGTTTTAAAGCTGTTAAAAGACAAGTAATTTAGAAATTCAGAAAAAATAAGATCCAAACTTTGTAAGCTTTGAAGATTAATGGGGCATGTTGTATGTCAATTATAAACAAAAAGTACTCTTGAAAGCAGTCAGAAACAAGAGGATATTAATTAGTATTTTATATGATGTCGGGCATCTGGCAAGTAAAAAATAAGATAATCATTACAGCAAAATTTCTAGACTAAAATAAACCTAGAATAATGTTTTCTCTACTTCCATTTTATGTAGATTGTTCCTAAAACCTTTTATCATTGTGAATAAACAGCTTCTCATTTGGAAAGGGTAACAGTATTTGGTCATTCATTCTTAATTTATAGCCTTGAAATATGGACTTAGAGGAGAAAAAAAAATCATCTCAAAGGGAATCCTAGAATAAATTTTATAAAATTTTAATGATTTCTCATTAATTAGAAACTGCTTAGTAGCAATTAAAATAAATTGTTTAAGTAGGTAATTAGGCACAGCAACATTCATACTCTAATGTTAAGCAAATCTCAACCCTCCAAACTACTAACTACGGATTGAATCCACTCTGAAAAATTCTGAATGCTTCTCCTTAAGGGATATTTAAAAGGAAAGAAGGGCCAGTCCATGGCCTAGTGGTTAAAGGGAGCCAAATCCCACATAGCCAAGCAAGTACTCAAATTCTGGCCCTGGCAGCTTGAAAACCATGCAGGGTGCATGTGTATGTGTGCCCCAAATTCCAAAAGAGTGGAAAAATGAAGGAAAAAAGATTAGGGAGTGACCACGCCCCATAAGCAGGTTCTTTCTCCCTCTTTATCTCCGTCTTTCTGTGGTGAGCAAATGCACCCAGTAAAAGTGAAAAGCCCTTAGACTTTCTAGGTCATAATTGTACTTCAAAAGAAAAAGAAGATGAGATTTGAGATCAAAAAGCAAATGAACACTACTGATGTGCTTCATTTTAATTTTAAGGAAAAGCCAAAAGATAAATATTTCTCATGTTAAATATGTTCATATTCCCTTTTGCTATACATCTTTTAGTAAATGAACAAGCCGGGGGGAAAGAGAATGGTGACCACCAATAAGAGATCAGGGTATGGTGAGAGGCATCGAGCTGAGTGCATAATTCAATTGCCCTGATTCAGTCCCTCACACTTACATGTTGATTATAGTGAAAGTGGCCTTGCCTACTCTAAAAAATGATGGTGATCAAAAAAATTGTAACAATGAAAATGTCTTAAAATTTGTAAAGCATCTTTAATTCATGAATATCGAAATGTGGCATTTGGTGATATGTATAAATACCAAATATGATTCATACCTTCTTACAACTCAGATTTATTTTAATGGTCTACCATCATAGTAACATGAGAAAAGAGATGCTTATCCTTGGTAATTTAATAAATTTAAGACAGTTTAAGTCATATTCAAGCTGCATTTAAAAGAAAACATAATTGTGATGACTAGTTAGTAAGGATGAATTATATTCAGTAAAAGGCTGTTAACAATTTGCCAGTCATGCCTCAAAAAAAAAAAAAAACCTTAAGCTATTATATCATTGCCTTTCTTTTGAGAATTTTAACGTAAGTCTGCTATATTACCTTGCAAACAAATGAAATTTATGGTTCTCACAATGTTTTCTTGAGCAAAAAATTGAATTCGTAAATAAATTAGGCATTTAGGCATTCATGAAATAATGTACATGAAACAATAACATTTCACATGTAAGAAAAAATAACTAATCAAAATCATATCAGCACAATATACGACATGCTATTAGGTCATCAGGAAAGTCATGACGTATTTTTCTATGTAAAAATTACAGGTTTTTCATATATATTATCAGCTAGTAGATAAACCTGCTTTGTCTACTATTTTCTTATTGGCATATTCTAGTAGCAGAATATAAACTGTTTTTAAAATTTTGACATCAAATACAGTCTTAAAAAATCACATTAAAAAATTCAAGCATAAATTAAAACTTAATATTTCTTATGATAGAAACGTGATAGAAATATATGAAATATTAAGGGGTCAAAACTGCCTGCATAGTTACTGATGTGCATCTTTGCTAAAATGTAAATGTTAGAAACACATCCGAAGCACATGGTCTAGAAAGGAGAGGAAAAAATATTAATGATGACAACTATTTACTGTATGCTCACCAAGTACCAGCCGCTGAGCTAAGTGCTTTCTACACATTACTTTTAAAATTTAATTTTATTTATTATTATTTTAATTTGCTATAGAACATGTGTGCTCACCAGAGAGAGAGAGAGAAGGAAAGTGAGAAAGCAAGCTGCCAGATTGGGGACTCAAATCACGGTCGGCCATGTGGAAGTCCAGTGCCTTAACCACCACACCACCTACGGGCCCCGATTATTAATTAATTCTTACAAGATCCCTACAACAGAGGTCCTACTATTACTTATATTTTATAGATGAAGAAAACTGAGGCAACATAGAAGTTAAATAATCTCTCCAACATCACATAGCTAGTAACAGACTAGAAACCAAGACATCAATTTAGACTGATGTCTTGAATAATAAGAGTTGATATAGGCCTTGACTGCTAAACTTACAAAGACTGCTTGTAAGGTTGGCCTTGATTGATATGTAGGAACTTGGATTTTGAAAGGTTCTCACTGTTCCCTCATAAAAAGTGGCTTAGTAAGTTTAAACTGATTAGACAAAGTGGTTCATGCTAACCACTAGGTTTCCTTTTGGGAGTCTGAAATGTTGGTAAATGCATGACCAGTCACTTAAACCTTGGGCAATAAAAGCCTTAAGCCTCTGTTGAGTTTTCCTGGTAGAGAACATTTTATATGTATGGTCACAATTGGTTGGTGGGAAAATTAAGTCCATCTGTGTGAACACTGGGTGAGGACTGCCGGCAACTTGCCCCTGGTTTCCTTTATACTGTGCCCCATGCACCTTTTCCCTTTGCTGATTAAGCTTTGCTTTTGTTATCTGTAATAAACCATGTCTATGACTATGATATATGTTGAGTCATGTGAGTCTCTAATGAATGTGCCAACTTGGGAGTCGTCTTGGGACCCCTGATGTATTGATGTACACATATAAACACTTAACTATATCAGAATTGGAACCTGGAGACACAGAGATATAGGTAAGTAGGGGTAATAGCACATTACATTTGTATAAGGCTTTATAGTTTAAGAAATAGTATATATATTATTTTCTTTAATTTCTGTATACCCCTGTAAAGTTCACTGTTTGCTAAGTCTATAATTCCTAGCTTCTTTGCTTGTAAATAAACGAAGTACTGCATTTTTAAACTAAAGTTCACTTAAGCCCCAGCAATGAACATGACCAAAAGTAATTCTGACAAAAAATGTAAGTAATATAATGGTAGTTAGAATTATAGATATTTGTGAGGTTCCTGAGAAACTGGGTCTTTAACAAGCAGACATCAAGTACAAAACATAAACCAACTGCAGTCTAAGAAACAATTCTGACACCTCTTGCTTAAGGTGTTACTTCCATTTCAGGATTTCAAATTCCTGGGCTGGGAAGACAGAGGCTGCTTTAACCTACCTAGACTGCCCTAGGATGTCATTTTACCTTCTTAAAAACTACATTCTTCTTCAGAAGATGCTGTTGCTATACTGGTTAAATTAATCCCTCAGAATGATGCGAGAATTCCAGTCCACAGCACAGTGTTTTACCTTATCGGCCTGACGCATATAGCAGTAGAGAATTCCTCTCATACATTTTATAGCCGAGTGCTCCAGCTCATGGGTCCTTCCCTTGTCATCGTCAATGCGCCTGGGTGAGAGAGATAACTCATGAAACAAATTGGAAATGTATTTGAAAAAGAACCAGAGCTTTTGATAATTAAGTATTTAACTATCTGGCTAATCCTGTGTTATGGTGACGTCTACTAATTCTGTCACAGTGAAACTCCATTTTCCCAGTAGATGTAGAAACACTGCAATCATAATAATAAAAAAATCTGTATGAAACTGGTGCATATTTTTCCTCTTAAAGGGAGTAAGCCAATCACTTTAAAAATAGCATACAGTATCTTCTAAGTGATTTGACTGAAACTTTAAAAGATATTTCTATATTGGAAAAAAAATCTACCAAAAGATTTTTAAATTCACTGATAGAGAGCAGAGAGGCAATTTCTAATACCTATCTTGTCAGGCTATGCAATGACCACTTGGATTTAAGAAAGCACAGGCTAAGGAAGGCACCTGCCTACTTTGCTCTGCCATGTATTAAATACAGCCAGAGCAGCCACTTTAGTTACAGTCAAGAAAGCCTTCAACTAAATGTATACCCAATATGATACAAGATGTATTTTGGTATAAAGTTTTATACTCAGGCCTTAACTTAAAATCAATTACCCATCGTTTACATCTCTTTTAAGTATAAAGAACAGCTAAAAGTCTAACTTTTAAACAATGACAAGATATTCTTTCTGTTCATAAGCTGGTTTTTTAATAGATCACTGACTTTAAAAGGTGAATGAGAGTTACCAACTACTGAAAAACAAAAGTGACTTGTTCCTTGCTCTACTTAATCTTAACGAAAATAATTGGTCATCATTCCCACTTAATAAAATTTATCACCCATCTTTTTAAAAAGTATACAATAATTACCTCCTCCTCTAATCTCAGATCTCATATAGCACTACTGGGAGGAATGATTATTATTTTAATACAATATGGTGACTATCAGTAAAAAGTAGGTTATTCATCAGTAGCACATTCATTCCTTTTTCTCACTAAGTAAAACCAGCATGAACTTGCTTTATACAGTGTTTTCCCTCCTTATGTGTTTTAATAGAGGCAAATTCTACATAGACATTGTGCCCATCAAAGCAAGAACTTTAAATTCTCTATCAGATGTTGAAACCTTTTGAGAAAGCTTAGTATTTGACATTTGTCCATATGAGGCCTGTACTCTTGTATTTTTAAAGCAATTTTCTCCCAACATTTTATTTAGAAAAATTTCAAATCTACCAAAAGCTAAAGGATGCTACAATGAATAAGCCTTTTATTCTGTACCTAGATTCACCACTCGTTACCATTAGCTTGCATTCTCTAACTACTTCGCTCTGCCATGTGCTAAATACTGCCAGGGCAGCTTTACTGTTTGAAAGTAAACTATCTCATGCCTTAGCCCTTTTATATTTCAAAATTAGCTTAGAAAATTAGTATATTCTCTTATATAGCCAAAATACAGTCACTATATTTAATACTGATACTATATTAACTTATAATCTACATTCAAATTTATTAAATTATCTCTAAAATGTACTTTATATCACACACACACACACATACATATATAAGGTTTAAAAGCATGATGTAGGGACCAACAGACAGCATAATGGTTACGTCATTGGACTCCTGCGGTTGTAGATGACTCTAGTTCGAGTTCCAGACATGGCAGCTTAAAACACACCAGGCATGTGTGCATGCATGCCCAAAATCCTGACAGGAGAATTGAGGAGAAGGGATTAGGGCAGGATCATCCCTCCTTGAGGGTGATCTGTTGTTTGCTGTCTGTCTCGCTGGCAAACACAAGCCCTATAGCGGAAATCTCTCTTTAAAAAAAAATGCATGATGTAATAAAGGATCATGTATTGCATTTGGTTGTCATATTTCTTCAGTCTCTCTTAATCTAGTCATCCTCATAACTATTTCCTAATCTTCTATGATATCAATAATTTATGAGTCCAAACAAGATGTTTTATAAGAACTATTGTCTGATCATTTATTCATGTGTACATTACTTTAGCCATTTTGGTAAGAAGTCAGCATGGGTAAAGTGTTTTCTCCGCTGAGGCACCTTGTTGACTCAACTCTGGCCACTTTTCATCTAAGATTTCTTCCTTAAGAGGTCTGTGAAAAGTAATGATCACATACCCTCAATCTGATTAAACAGGTCACCTTGCCTCAGTAATTATGGCTTATTTCTCATATCTTGACTAGCAAAACATTATGTGAAGATTAGGAAATTCCCTATGGTAAGGTAAGCTTAAACATTCTTTTCTACTCTCCTCAAATTTTAAATAAAGCCTTTCCCTTTTAGCCAATAACAAACTATTGGGTCATCAGAAAAGTCATGACATATTTTTGTTTTTCTATTCAAAAGTGTGCCATGGGGACCAGCAGTTAGCATAATGGCTATGTCTCTGGACTCCCACATAGTTGACTTCGATTCGAGTCCCGGACCCGGTAGCTTAAAACTCACTCCAGACATGTGTGCGTGCGTGCCCAAGATCCCGAGAGGAGAATGGAGGAGAAGGGACTGCAGCATGGCCATCCCCCCTGGGGGTGGGGGGTGACTTCTCGCTTTCTGTCTCTGTCTCTCTCTGTCTGTCTGGTGATCACACGCGCCCTTATAGCAAAAACCTCTCCCCCCCAAAAAAAATATTTTATTTAACTTTATTTTTTTATTTATTTTTAATATTTGACCAGAGAGGGACAGAGAAAGAGAAATTGAGAAAACATGCCACCAGGTCAGGGACTTGAACCGTGGTCGGCCATGTGGGAGTCCATCGACCTTAATCCCCACTCCGCCTGCTGGCCCATCAATGGCTGATTCTTACTTTGAAATGTAATTGGTAAAAATTAACTTCTAAGTAGTCATTTTTTACTTAAGTTACTGATTTGTTCAGCAAAAGGGAAAATGCCTATGATTAATAACTAAAGGCTATATTTGATGTTTTAACGTGGCCAATTCAAGAATGTCATAGCAATAGTTATATAATTTGAAGTTAGAAAAGAAACTGAATCATGACAGAAATGTATTAAACTAAATTCCCATTACTGTTACCGTTTTTTTTTTTTTTTTGTATCAAAATGAACTTATTTTTGTGTGTGTGTGTGTTTGGTATCAAAATGAACTTATTTTCTAATGTATATTTGCTTAGGAAATTAAATTTTATTTGGATCTTTTTTAACCACAGATACCATCATATTTGTCTGGATAGCATGCCATGTAGTCTTAGCAATAAAACTAGAAAATGCCTAGAAAGCAAAATGCTCTGCTTTTTATTTATTCAATAGTGGCTGGTTTATACTCAAGCTGGATATACTTGGGTAAGGCAAACTATTACTTTCACTTTTGTTTATAGCATTTTTGGTTTGTGAAATTTTTTTTATCATCAATTCAAGTTTTCCAGAGACATTTTATAATGTTTATCCTTAAACTAATGGAAAAATAATGAATCTTTTTGGTCCTATAAAATAATTGTATATCTTATATTAAAGAACACCATTTTAGAAATAAGAAAATTTTTTTCTCCAAAGTTACATTTGCATACATACATACACACACACACACACACACACATGCCCACTTGATCTGGTCATCATTACATAGATACAAATGAGATATTATACGTTTAAAATGTACACTACTTTGATGCAATTAAATTAGGCTTTATCTAAAGATTAATTTGTTAAAGCATGTCAGTGTTTTCTGGTAGTTCATTTTAAAATTAACTTACAGCTTTGTATTACATCATTTCTCCAATACAAGTGGTCTCTGAAAATTTCATCTTAATTGATAGAGTATAACGTGGGTTCCTTGGTACTACAAGTTAGTGATCCTGCTGATAGTACTTCAGAGTAATTTATAAATACCTAGTCGATAGAGTGACAGGTTCATCAGATTTTTAAAAAAATAAATTCCCTTTTTTTGTGTGTTTACAGGAAACCTGTGCAGTTTAAATCGTCTTGGTCTGAGATATAACAGACTGTCAGCAATACCCAGATCATTAGCAAAATGCAGTGCACTTGAAGAATTAAATTTAGAGAACAATAACATTTCTACTTTACCAGAGGTAAGAAATGGATTAGAGAAAACAAGACTTGAAGCATGTCTACAAGAAAATGGAAAGAAAACTAGTAAATCTATATAGCTAGGTAAATAATTTGGTGTGAGAATGTTTATAATATGGAGTAGTCTATGCATGTATAGCCACCACTAAGATACATATTCTAAAGGAGAAAGAATAAGGTATAAGAACATGTCAAAAACTCATGACATACTTTTGTATGTTTCTGTGCAGAAATGCATCATGACTTTTCTGACGACCTAATAATTCTTTTCTTTTTTAATTTATTTATTCATTTATTTATTTTATTTTGACCAGAGAGAGATACAGCAAGAGAGAGAAAGTGAGAAAGCAAGCAACCAGGTCCAGGACTTGAACCATGGTCAGCCATGTGGAAATGTCCAGCACCTTAACCACCACGCCACCTACTGGTCCCTCTAATAATTCTTTAATACATATATCTTAAAGAATTACTAATTTAATTTTTGTATATTCTTATTCTTTAGTGTAACCAGAGAGAGAGAGAGAAAAGAAGCCACTAGGGTGATTTGTCACTTTCTGTCTCTGTCTCGCTCTGTCTGGTGATCACACGCGCCCTATAGCAAAAACCTCTCCAAAAAAAAAAAAAAAATGCGCCATGACTTTTCCAACAACCCAATAAATCTCTAAATCCACTATGATCTGTAAGCCCTCATTTTTATTTACAACTCCATGTATTGATTTACAACTTTGCTACAACTTTTTCTTTCTCAGAAGAACTGCTATAATCCAATTGCCTTGGATTACTTTCTCAAGGCTTTTTGAGTCTATGTTTCACCAGGCAATTGTCCCTCAAAATGACTCAGAGAAAAACCCTTTCAGTATTAAAAAAAAGAGAAAAATTAGGAGGCACATAACATCAGTGTTCCATTACTGGTTTAATCATTTGATGAAGGTGCTATTGATGTTCTCTGTAACCCTAAGATCAGTA